TATAAGGTGGATAGAAAGCTGGCTAGATCATCGGGCTCAACAGGTAGTGATCAATGGCTCCATGTCTAGTTGGCAGCCGGTATCAAGCAGAATGCCCCAAGGGTCGGTCCTGGTGCCAGTTTTGTTCAATATCTTCATTAATGATCTGGAGGATGGCGCAGATTGGACTCTCAGCAAGTTTGCAGATGACACTAAACTGGGAGGAGTGGTGGATACGCTGGAGAGTAGGGATAGGATACAGAGGGACCTAGACAAATTAGAGGATTGGGCCAAAAGAAATCTGATGAGGTTCAACAAGGACAAGTGCAGAGTCCTGCACTTAGGACGGAAGAATCCCATGCACTGCTACAGACTAGGGATCGAGTGGCTAGGCAGCAGTTCTGCAGAAAAGGACCTAGGGGTTACAGTGAACAAGAAGCTGGATATGAGTCAACAGTGTGCCCTTGTTGCCAAGAAGGCTAATGGCATTTTGGGCTGTATAAGTAGGAGCATTGCCAGCAGATCAAGGGACATGATCATTCCCCTCTATTCGACATTGGTGAGACCTCATCTGGAGTACTGTGTCCAGTTTTTGGCCCCACACTACAAGAAGGATGTGGAAAAATTGGAAAGAGTCCAGCGGAGGGCAACAAAAATGATTAGGGGGCTAGAGCACATGACTTATGAGGAGAGGCTCAGGGAACTGGGATTATTTAGTCTGCGGAAGAGAAGAATGAGAGGGGATTTGATAGCTGCTTTCAACTACCTGAAAGGGGGTTCCAAAGAGGATGGATCTAGACTGTTCTCAGTGGTACCAGATGACAGAAAAAGGACTAATGGTCTCAAGTTGCAGTGGGGGAGGTTTAGGTTGGATATTAGGAAAAACTTTTTTACTAGGAGGGTGGTGAAGTACTGGAATGGGGTTACCTAGGGAGGTGGTGGAACCCCCTTCCTTAGAGGTTTTTAAAGTCAGGCTTGACAAAGCCCTGGCTGGGATGATTTAGTTGGGGATTGGTCCTGCTTTGAGCAGGGGGTTGGACTAGATGACCTCCTGAGGTCCCTTCCAGCCCTGATATTCTATGATTCTATGAACATAAAATGCATAGTTGATGCCTGCAAAGGCTCTGGATCTGCTCGCTCCAAAATGCTAAGGAAACCCAAACTTTTTATTTTCCAGTTGCAGTCCTTTTGAGAAACCCATTACTTTGCACTATAAGTCTAAGAGCCAAGTTCTGCCATCTTTACTCAGAGTGAATATTATACACATAGAATATCAGGGTTGAAAGGGACCTCAGGAGGTCATTTAGTCCAACCCCCTGCTCAAAGCAGGACCAATCCCCAACTATTTTTTTTTTTTGCTCCAGATCCCTAAATGGCTCCCTCAAGGATTGAACTCACAACCCTGCATTTAGCAGGCCAATGCTCAAACCACTGAGCTATCCCTCCCTGAATCTTACTCTGCAAGTAATTCCATGGGTTCAGGGACAATTTACAGAATAAAATACTATTCAGTGTGAGTAAGGGAGGCAGAATCAGGCCCTAAACGAGTGAATAGAATCAATGTATCTGTAAGTAAATTAGGAAACTGCACCTGTGGTATAATGGAACATTCCGTTTATACAATAATCTGATGATATTTTTAGCTGATTTTTTGGCACTAGTCATTTATGTTATTGCACTTTGCCCATATTCAGACCTCATTCAGCAAGGAACTTAAACATGGACTTAAGTCCATCCCTATTCAGCAAAGCATGTAAGCACATACCTCAGTCCCATTGACTACACTGAATATGAATAATAATAATTGCTGCAGGTTTCACTTCAGTCCTTTAGGATCAGTTTCCAGTGCAGCTAAATCAGCTGAGCAAAGCTGACTGCCCCCTTGCAGGGCTTATAACTCTAGAAATAAAGGGAGATTTTATCAAATGCACAACTTCCTTTTTTACCACTTTGCCTTATATGGATATTTTTGAGGATCACCAGGTGTGTTATCTGCTCATTTGACTCCCTTGTTTCATAATGGCAGCCATCAGAGATGTCCAAGAGGGGAATATAGCTGGACCGCTTGGTAATAGTGACCATAATATAATTAAATTTAACATCCCCATGGCAGGAAAAACACCACAGTAGCTCAACACTGTAGCATTTAATTTCAGAAAGGGGAACTACACAAAAATGAGGAGGTTAGTTAAACAGAAATTAAAAGGTACAGCACCAAAAGTAAAATCCTTGGAAGCTGCATGGAAATGTTTTAAAGACACCATAATAGAGGCTCAATTTAAATGTATGCCCCAAATTAAAAAACATAGTAAGAGAACCAAAGAAGTGCCACCGTGGCTAAACAACAAAGTAAGAGAAGCAGTGAGATGCAAAAAGGAATCCTTTAAAAAGTGGAAGTTAAATCCACTTTTAGTGAGGAAAACAGAAAGGAGCATAAACTCTGGCAAATGAAGTGCAAAAATATAATTAGAAAAGCTAAAAAAGAATTTGAAGAACAGTTAGCCAAAGACTCAAAAAGTAATACCCCAAAAAAATGTATGTATATCAGAAGCAGGAAGTCTGCTAAACAACCAGTGGGGCCACTGGACGGTCGAGATGCTAAAGGAGCACTCAAGGAAGATAAGGCCATTGTGGAGAAACTAAATGAATTCTTTGCATTGGTCTTCAAGGTTGAGGATGTGAGGGAGATTCCCAAACCCAAGCCATTCTTTTTAGGTGACAAATCTGAGAAACAGTCCCAGATTGAGGTGTCATTAGAGGAGGTTTTGGAACAAATTGATAAATTAAACAGTAATAAGTCACCAGGACCAGATGGTATTCACCCAAGAGTTCTGAGGAACTCAAATGTGAAATTGCAAAACTACTAACTGTAGTTTGTAACCTATCATTTAAATCAGCTTCTGTACCAAATGACTGGAGGATAGCTAATGTGACGCCAATTTTTAAAAAGGGCTCCAAAAGTGAACCCCGACAATTACAGGCCAGTAAGCCTGACTTCAGTACTGGGCAAACTGGTTGAAACTATAGTAAAGAACAAAATTGTCAGACAGATAGATGAACAGAATTTGTTGGGGAAGAGTCAAAATGGTTTTTGTAAAGGGAAATCATGCCTCACCAATCTACTAGAATTCTTTGAGGGGGTCATCAAGCTTGTGGACAAGGGGAATCCAGTGGATATAGTGTATTTAGATTTTCAGAAAGCCTTTGACAAGGTCCCTCACCAAAGGCAAAGTAAGCTGTCACAGTTTAAGAGGGAAGGTCCTCTCATGGATTGGTAATTGTTTAAAAGATAGGAAACAAAGGGTAGGAATAAATAGTCAGTTTTCAGAATGGAGAGAGGTATATAGTGGTGTCCCCAAGGGGTC